CTTTCTGAAAGAATACTCTGTATTTAAGGAATTATTCAATTTAAAAACCCAAGATAATGCAAATTATGTAGTTATAAAAGGACAATCATGATGGTTGGCAGTTTTAAGGACCGGATAGTTTTGAAAATTTTAAACAGCTTAAAAGAATGTGTGTCTTTGAAGATACTGCCTTCAAATGCATTCCAAAACCTATTTCTGTAAATATGGAGAACTATAATTCCCTCAGCATAGTACATGAATTTAGCAGGGAAGCCAATTTAACAAGCATCTCTAACTGATAGTCTGAACTGCAGAACTTGAACACAAAACGTGTATTTTTGTACTTAGTACAAGAAGTACTCAGTGAATGAAACTGCAACGGTTACTCTGTGGGTAAAAACTATTTACTTTCTAGACTCAGTGGTTCTCTGACATCTTCTGTACAGTTGTGCTCCACAGGTCATGCACGTGTACTATCCACACTGTTTTTTTTTTACAGCCGTCTGGTAGTGAAAGAAATTATACCATATGCTGCTGTCTCAATGTCACAGCCCTTTAAATAAATGGCCATCCTTTTTAGTCTTAAAAGGGGATTTTTAGCAAACAAAAGAAAAACAAGGCCAACACAGCTCAGACGACAATAGCAACAAATCTAGGTCAAAGGCAAGTGACCCTAGAGCTACTCTGGGCATATGGACATCTCTGTCCTTTTCAGGGGCAAACTCTTACTCTGCTCCCCATTACCCTTTGGCTGACTTACCGTAGAGGAAATTGTCCTCATTTGGCCTTTCAGCTGCTTCCTTCCGTTTTCCAAACCCTGAACATTTTTTGCCGGCAAAGCTAATCAACTCATTTTTCTAGCACCCTTAAAATGCTTCTATGTACCATCAGCACCCTGCGTCCTGGATACTCTCATGAATCTTTCTCTTGAGCATCTGGATGGAAGGAATCCAAACTACTCAATTCCTTTTCCATCAGAAAACAAGAATTCTGAAAGGGCAAGTTATGAAATCTATCTGCATACAACACACCTGAAAGAACCACCATGAGTACAAGGTAACTTCTTTAGTTACCTATATATTTGGATTCTGCCTGCAGTAATACGAAGTATTTATAATCAGCAGGTACCACGCTATAAGCATTTTGCTATGTGTAATAACTGCAAAACCACTCTAATGCATGATCTTCATGATAGCAACATTTAATCAGCTGTAAACCTGTGAATGAGGACTAAGCATGTGCTATCTATACATTTCTAGATCAGAATTCTATTAAGAGAACTCGTGAGGCAGCATGAGGACCCCTGTCACTGAAAACCTCCAGTATGGGTATGAGAACGAATAGGCTTCCTGACAAATCCGTCATCTACTTCCATAGTTCCTGGACAAAAACTGCTCTCCCATTTTGTTCCACTCTCAGATGTGCAAGCAGATCTCAGCCAATGCAAACACCAGGTTTTCTTTGCGTCCATGAAGTTTAGCATCACTTTGGAATGCGTAGGGTTCTGAGAGATAAACGTTAGTAAACACGTCCACTTCATGAAAGGCTGAGAAAAGCCATAATGTGGTATTGCTGTCCAAACATCATCTTGTAGCACATAAAAATGCCCCTTCTGCCTATAGAGTGAGCAAGACAACCATCATTCAACTACTGAAGGAATAAACTTTAAAAATATAAAGACAAAATTGTAATGACTAGAGATACACCTTTTGTATTAAAAAAAAACTAGCAATCATTTGATGGACAACTTTTCCAAAATGCTACATCATAACCCATACCACCTGAGTGTTTAGACAATTTCTTCTACATTCTTCACTCACATGCAAGGTCTCACTGTCTTTTGCCACAGAATCCTCAATGAAAGAACTGTTGCGATGCATTGCTACAAGATCAACCACTACTAAAATATTTATCCACATGATTTCACTTCTGTGTTTAAAAGAGATTAAAGAGCACCAGGACATCTGTCCAGAAGATCTGTCCCCATTTGCTCTCCCCCTTGAGATTCTCACTACAGAAGTCCAAACAAAATATGGAAGTTTAAGAAATTTTTATAAAAATGGTTAAGAATACTGATCTTTGCTCTACAACAAGCGTTAAAGCAGCACAGGTCACATCTGCTTTTATTACTGCAGCTTTAAAATATGGTGATAAAAATTGTGTCAACATAGTGAAGGCATATGAAATTATCCTTTAGGGCAGAATGTATATCTAAGATTTGAGGAAGAAGTAATATAAAAAAACCAAAATTTAAATTATTCCTTTTCAGTGAGATGCCTCAGACTTCAATTCTTTCTGGAAGAAAAGTATCAAAAGTGCAATCTTTTTACCTTACACTATGGAAGTGATTAAGACCTGCACCCCATGAGGTAGCATAATATAAAAGTTCTTCTATACAGGATTGGAAAACATGGGGAGGGGTAAGGCAGGGATCTGAAATAATGGTACTCTTTCTTCATAATTTCAAAAACTTATTTAACTTTTATTATAGAACTCTGACTAAGGAAAAAAAATGCCGAAGTAATTTAGTTTTGTTTTTTTATAAAGAAATTGAAATATTTTCCATATAGTCAATTCTCCAGTTCAAAATAACAAAATAATCAACTGCAGAAGGTTTCCTACCATAAGTTATGTTGTACTTCACATTTCTACATTTTGAGTCTTTCTGGAATTAACAGAGATAAATGTTTTAAAAAAGAATAGTCTGAATCCCACATGCTGGCCAGCTGGATTTTGTTAGTGTTTGATCATACTAGAATTCTACTATGCTTCCATTTTAATTATGTTTTCAGTTCTTCTCTTCATGAATGTTTATGATACAAAACAACACAAATAGGAACTAGTGATTGTTCTTACTGGGATACTCTGTGGGGAAGCACCATAGTACATCAGCCTCTTGCACTATGTGCTGACACTTAGCTCTGGAAAGGGTGGAGTATCTACTGAGACACTTCCTGATAACAAAAATAACACAATGTCATTAATCCCTTCAGATTCAGAGGTTATAAACATTAAAAGTTATTCTTACTAATTACAATAGTTAGTAATTATTTAATGACACAAAAAAGACGTTTCAGGAAAAGGTGAGCTACCATGTAGTCACATTTACTCAACTTTTTTCTTCCATGCATTGCTCCCTTTTAAACTCTGAGAAAAAAAGATTTTTTTTTTTTCCCCTTACATACAGCATTACATTACAACTCTCCTACCTACAGCTTATCTTAAGGGAATTTTCATACAAGTCGTGGTAAGGCATCCCTGCTTCCCATCGAGAATCTGCAGTGCTGGCAGACTGCATAGTCGCTTGCTAACACAAGCAGAGTGATCGTAAGTGGAAGAAACCGAGGAACGTGAATGAGGGTTAAAGTGAGTGGCACTCACCAGCTTCTTTTCTTATGTCGGGTAAAAGGAGACTAGATTTCTTTCAAGGAAAAACTACAAATAAACTGGTCAACAAAATTGAACATTTCAAGGGTGAAAACTAGTTAACTGCTAGAGAATGAAGGTAATCAGCTTCCATCCAAGGAACTTTCATATCAAAACGCTGAGGACCACACTTGCGTGAGCACCCACCACTGCTCCTCCGTGCTACAGGAGATACGGCTGACACAGGTCTGCTTCTGGAAAACCAATGCTGCAGAGCAGAAGGCCGAAATACTCTTCGAAATTAAATGTCAAAGAAAGTGTAACTCAATCAGTGTGTGCTCCCCAAGTAGTTTAAGCAAACCCTTGTAACCAGAATAACAGCAAAGTCAGGCACAAACATTGCTGGGGGGAAAAAAGAAAAAAAAAAGATAACAAGAGACAGAAAGAAAGGTAAAAGCAGTAAACATAAATAAATAAATAGAGGGGGCTTTTTTTTTTAATTTTGTTTCTGGAAAAATAACTCCCTTGCCATGACAATACATCTTAAAGATCCTTGAAAGCCCACTCCGTAGGAAGTCAAAGCAATTGGCTGGCAGTGAAAGATACTCCAGGTCAGATAAAGGGGCTCAACTTCTCATAAAATTTTAGAGGCTTATTATCTGCTATTCTTCAAGAAGCTACCAAAATAAAATACTGTAACTAATAAGTACTATCAGGCATCTTAAAACTTTATTATAACAACCTCTCAGCAGTGTGACTGTAGCTGTTATAAAGTCCTCATAATTTAGTCCAGACACTGAAAATAAAAACACTTGGATTAAGGAAAGATTTTTCCCCTCTGACAAAAGAACAAAGAAAGCTCTACTACAAGTACTCAAACTATTTTCCAACACAGGACTGAAGTAGTTTGGTTTCAGCATTCAAAATGCATTCTCTAATTTTAAACAGATTTTAAAGTAGTTCTACAATTTTTCTACTAATTACTGTGTTTAATATGGACATATGGCAACAGACTCTACTACTCTTGAACAGGGCATTTTCACTAGTGACACTGTTCATTCCACTGTAGATAAGGGTCTGTCACAATTTTATTATAAGCACCTATTCTAGGATGCATATAACTCAACAACAAAAATATAATCAAGGTTGAAACATGGCATGCAAGGTTTCAGCCCAGAAGCAATCCTTAGTTATTATGTTTTGAATCAAAACTTACAAGAGAAGTATGCTATTTTTCCTTTTGAACTCTTAAATTGCAGAATAAACACAACATACTTTTGCTATATTATCCTTGTAAGCCTCTTTAAAGTAAGTTCTAAATACAATCCAAATAATTAAAAATAACTCATTAATTAGAGACCGAGAGCAGTGCAAATTAAACAAGCGTTGTAGTACCCTGAACATCAATTTGTATTTGCCCATTTCTGCTACTTGATAAATGTATTTTGTCATGTAAGATTTTAAAGAAAAGGTCTTAGAGTGACAAAATCAGTTTCACTGTGTCAAAATCCCATTTGTAAGTGAATAGAGATGATTGAACACAAATACCTTAGGCCAACAACTACAGAGATTATATTTTGGAACCAGCATGTGCATAATTGGATCAGATAAACACTAACATTTTACAGATTCTGAGCGGCACCTCTTGTCACCATGGACAGTATGGGAAGTGATAAGCTACTCGTCCTTCTTATGTCTAACCGATTAACATAAACATGTTGCACCCAGAAGAATGGTTCCCGATCTGAATTTAAGCTTGATGATTGCTGAGTGTGTGTTAGACCTGATGAAGATTTCACGTCCTTAAAAGCATGACCATTTTTCCCTACTTATACCAGTTGGTCTAAAGGAAAGATACTATTTTTCCCAGCCAACTCTGCTTCTTTTATAACCTTAAGCTGTCATGGCTACAGCAGCACAACTCTTGGATTAAGTACGAAGATTTATGAAAATTTTGTGCAGAACAGCCTTGTATCACCAATACTATTCAGGCTGTAGTGTCATGTTAAAAAGCATTTGGAAATTACATTAGCAATGGCAGACCCACCTCCTACCTCTCATTTTTCCCTGCTTACATAACCCTTTTTTAGGACCATGGTAGGAGGCAGATGAAGAAAGAGATTCTTTCTCTGAAAGCAACAGAAAAGCAACAATAAAAAAAAACAGAAGAATTTTTTTTTTAAAGTCCTTTTTATATAGAGGAAAGCTTTTTTAACAAATTTATTCACTGCAATAATAAACAGCAGTTGTGGATTCCATGCACATCAGGACTATTTTCTAATAACCAAACTTTGTAAGAATATGTACTAATTTCGTACACTCAGAAAAAACAGAAAATTGTTCTCAGTCTCCAAAAGCAGTAGCACAGGCAGCAGGTGAAACGCCTTGCAGACAGCAACTGAGATCCAGTGCTCACAACATACCAGAGGCAGCAGCTGCCAGCACCACATCTGTATAGAGCGGAGATGAGATGAACTGCCCCGGCCCTGCTCTGAAGGAGAGGCTTACCCCAAGCAGCAGGAGGAGGTACTGGCTACCTCTATTGAACATGTACTTCATGAGCTCCTCCTTTCATAGAATCATAGAATCATTAAGTTTGGAAAAGACCTCTAAGATCATCAAGTCCAACCGTCAACCCAACACCACCATGCCCACTAAACCATGTCCCTAAGCGCCTCATCTACACGTCTTTTAAACACCTCCAGGGGTGGGGACTCAACCACTTCCCTGGGCAGCCTGTTCCAAGGCCTGACCACTCTTCCAGTGAAGAAGTTTTTCCGAATGCCCAGTCTAAACCTCCCCTGGTGCAACTTGAGGCCATTTCCTCCCGTCCTATCGCTGGTTTCCTGCTAGCCCCCAGACATTACCCAACACAGGAGCAAAAGCAGCTTTAGGCTTCCTTCAGCCATGCAGCGTTGCTGGAGCTAGAAGTCGGTGGCCGTAGCCCAAGGAAGCAGCCTGCCGGACCGCAGCGCTGCTGGGCACCTACTTGGAGGGAGCCGCCACTGCGTCCTCCCCTGCAGCGTGCTCACGAAGGGGCAGCACCAATTAAGCCTAAAGTATGCATTAGTTACAAAGAACAGGAGATTTTCTGCAATATGACATGATGACAAAAGTAGGATTACAGATATTTTCAGTAAAAATACTGGTGAACATTCATGCAAAGGGAATTTGTTACGCAGGCACCATAGTGTCTTTTGGAAGTTGAGTATCTTGGCCGCAGAAATGCTGAAAGTGATTAAACAATAACATGAATTAACTTCTTGCTAAATCATAACTGTTTGATGTGTCCTACTGGTAAACTTCTTTAAATGTACTAGTATAACTCAAAGGATCCAAGATCTTTCCCTTTTCATCCTAATTAAGGGAAGGGGCAAAACCTCTGATTTCAGGCTGGAAAAAGTTTGGTTTACAGTAGAAGTGCTTCAAAACAAAAATACATCACTGGAAGAATGAAATATTCCTTAAATATGAATAATCAATTGTGCTTTACTCTAAAGTAGTACGTTATCAATTAAATATAGTAGAATCAAAATGAAAAAATGTTCATGTGGTCTGTCAAA